CTATCTTTTTATCTTTTTTCTATCACATTACATTTTTACTTTTCTGCACATCTTTTCATAAAAAGACAAAAAGTGCACTTATTTAGATCATCCCAAACAACCCCTAAGTTTTGTTTTATAAAAGGTTGAGTTTAGTTGGGAGTATTTAGTGAGTCACAGTGAACGAAAAGTAAAAAGTTAAAATCAACATTAAGGTGAGTTATATTATATATTGAGTTACCATAAACTGAAACCTATGGATATGTTTGTTTAAGTTTTAGAAATTATTTGACAATGATTTTATAAACAATTATGTTTTGTAAGTACTACCACGGCGGTCCCATGTTTTAGGCGACTTAAATAACCATTGGCCTCTGTTTGGACACTTTGTGGCTTTCTGTTTGTCATGGATCTATTGACCTCTGTTTTGATTATCACTTCAGTGACCTCTGTTCTGTTCTGTACCATGGTTATGATTATTTGCTTATATGATTTCTGCACTTTGCTTTTGTTATTTAAAATTAGGCCTCGTTTGGCAAGTGACTTTTTTAGTCAAAAAATCAAAAAGTTACTAAAAAAGCCAACTACCTATACCAAAAAGTCAAAGATTCCATTTTCTCTTTACTTTTTGCACATCTTTTTGTAAAAAGTCAAAAAGTCATCCCAAACATACTATTTTTTTACATCATATTTTAGCCAAAAAGTCAAAAAAATTCTTAAAAAAGCATGTGTAACGCCCTCAAAATAATACATAAACCCAACATTTCCGACATGCATTGATATAAGAGAATAAAACATCATTCCATTCATCAGAGTAGTTAAGTACAAAAATATTACATGTTGACAATAAAAATAAATGCCCTATGGGCTTACAACTTTCCAAGCCAACACTTGATCACAAAAGAGAGTACTAACTCAAATATACTTTAAGCCCTTGGCTTGAATTTACATGTAATATTCAAATAACAAAATAACCAAAAAGAGTCTTCAACTCCAAAACCTTCCAAGCTATGTCCTTGGAGGTAGCATGTCACCTGAACCTGAAAATGATGTCCCATATAGGGTGAGTCACAGCCCAACAGAGATATACTAAACCAAATATAAGTAATGACTAAAACAACAGCATTTGATAGATGGTTAACACTTATAAATCAGTTATATCACAATGCAGTTCCATAACAATCATGTCCATGTTTCAATTCAATTTTCTTTACTTATACAAACCCGATACATAAACATGGCTCAGAATCTGGCCTACCAATTCAATGAGACTATGGCTCATATTAACATGTTTCCATATTTCACAATTACACATGAGATTTACAACTCATATTCAAACACTTCCATATTTTAAATGATACACATATTTGCTGTATCAACACTTCAATTTAATACACATATTTGCTGTATTAATGGAGTCCATCCACTATCTCTTCCCAAACAGGTTTGAGAGTCCATCCCCTATCTTCCCTCAAACCATTGAGTACATCCTCTATCTCCTCCCACACAATACACATATTCCAAGTATATAAACAGTTATCATATACAGGAATCAATCAATACATATATTTGATGTATTATTCCAACTGTCATATTCAATGACATATTCAATGTGATTAGTTTCAGTTTTCCCTAATCAACATACAGTGTCTACAACAATCAAGACTATCCTCCACCGATAGCCCAAAACAGTTATTTCTAAATAGAGAATAAATGCATTAAACAAATGTAATATCAACTTTTACATAGGTGAGTGATAAATTAATCCAACTACAACATTCAATCCCATAACCTCCCAATTTCACAATTTCCAATTCAATTTCATATTTCCCAAATTAATTATACCAATTAATTTATCACAATAATTAGGGCATTTTTCCCTAATCCTCAATATCAACCATAAGGTCCAATTTCATCGATAATACAACAATAATTCCGTTTCTCAATGTCTTACATACATATGGGTTTTAATATTTGAAAACCTTTCTTTTATAAATTACACAATAACCTAACTTTTTCAAAAATTGCCCAACATCACCAACTACTCAAAATGACCAAAATTAAAGACAAAGCTCATAAGATGGAGTAGGGTATCCCTACCTCGAAATGAAGAGCTCAAATGGAGAAGATAATGAAAATCCAAAGTGCTCCAAATCCCAAAATTTCAGATTAAAACGTAGCCCACACAATCCTCTATTTTTCTTACAAAGGGATTAGGGTAGAAACACACTATAAGTAGATCAATCCCTAGAGAGAAGGTGTGTAGAGAGAGAGGGAGAGTCAGATCTAGGGTTTGTGTAAAAGAGGAGATGAAAAAGTGAAGTGTTTCCCCGCTGCTGTCTACTGATATAACACAGGCTCGCTCGAGCGACCAGACACAAAGAACCCTCGCTCGAGCGTAGAAAGCCTCGCTCGAGCCAACAATTCGAAGCTTCAGGTCTGCAACCCAGAAGCACGCTCGAGCGACAGAATTCTCGCTCGAGCGAAGGAAAGCTCGCTCGCTCGAGCCAAGAAATGCAACTCTCAGGTCCAGAACCAGACGCAGACGCAAGCTTGAGCGAAAGACTTCTCGCTCGAGCCACCAGATACAAAACTCAACTCTTGCTCGAGCGAAGGAACCCTGGCTCAAGCGAAGGATCTAAAACACAGAGCTCGCTCGAGCGACAAAAGACTCGCTCGAACGAAGAACCAAAATTCTGGGCAGCAACCATTTGCTCCCAGTCACACCCAACTTGTAACAAATTTGCCCAAAACATTCTATAACTCAAATACAAAGCATTGAAGGACGGAAACAAGATATATACAACAACCAACATCCACGGAACCAAGTCCGGATCACACTAATCAATGGAGGGAAAACCAGGGTTGCTATAGCATGTTCCCAAACGAGGCCTTAGTATTTATTTCAATTACCAAACTAATATCTATTTAGCCAAACAATTATTCATGGTAATTTTTGTACCCTCATGCTTATGTGTCTATGGTTGTTAACAACTTTCGGGTGACGTGTCAAAGCCAGTGCATGGGATAGACACAAGGCACTTTGTAATCATAGGACAATTCTGGTATTGCAATCGAATAGAAGCTCCAATGTATACTTTTTTGTTATACTTAAATAAAGAGTTGGGTATCCTTTTATTTTATTCCGTTGTACTATTAATTTGTTATGACTTCAGTTATTGCTTGTTGTAACGCTGAACCTCTAGGTATCGGGTTTGGGTCGTGACACATAGTTTTCTTATATGTATTTATTATTAGTATTTGACAATTTACTTGATAATCTTTTGGTTATGTTGAGTTGAATTGTTATCCAATTTTTTTTTAACAAGTTATTATATTATGTTCAAAAATTGTAAAAATTTAAACTGCCAAACTAATTTGTATCCATTCATCAATCTGTCAATCTGCTCAATCCGCATCTGTCAATTCGGTAGATGGATACAAATTTATTTTTTCCAATTTATCCATCCGGCAAATAAATGGCGGATTAAATTTTTTTTAGCTGCAATCAAATTGAGAACACCCCTAGATAGTATAGATAGATAAAGACAACAATTGTTAAATAGTCATAAATTGATTTCTTTTACCTACACTAGGTAAACGAAAACGTTACAAATTTTTTTTTGATTTCCTTTTTAAAATATTAAAAACTAATTTGACAAAAGTAAACCTACAAAATGATATTTTTAAAATTCAATAATAAACTATAATCATTATTTTACTTTATTTTGTGAAATTAACTTTTGAATTTTTTTGAGAGAATAGATTCCACCGTCTGAGAAATTGGGAAAATATCAAGTTAGAAAAAAGTGAGAAAATTATATACAAGTCTCTGTTGTGTTTGTAAATATCATTTTACAAAATAATATATAAGTTTGTTTTTTAAATCTACTTATTATATTTAGTGATGTGTTAAAAAACGATTGATTAATAATTAAATATTTTTTAATTATCAATTAATTATCTTCTTAACATTAACATAAACATATTATTAAATTTAAGAAGTGAATCTAATCTTTACACTTGAATAATAATATATAATGTATATATTTTTTTGGTATCAAAATTGAAGTTGTAGTTAAAAGATTCTTTAAACAGGTCCCACGTCCAATTTGTAACAAGAAATTTGATAACAGATACTGAAAGTTTGACCAGAGAGGTGGATTATTAAACGTTTCTTATTTGATGGGATGTTAATTATGTTGTTGGATTGGAGCGAAGCAGACACAAAATAGATTTTTTTTTTTCTTATCAAGAAAAAAAGATGTTTGTAGGTGTCATCACTATATCCGTAGGCTCAGGTTCCAGAATAGCCGGTTACTAGTCTGATTTAACCCTAACCCAATTTATAAGAAGAGATCCACCACCGAAACACCAGTAAAACTCATCAACCACTCTAACCACTCACCACTCAATCAGAATACTGCGCGAAGTTGCCGAAGCAAGCCTGAAAAATCCAGGATTTTACGACTCTGTTTTTATACTAGTAAAAACTACTGCTCCCCCGAATCATGACCACATTGAATTGTATAAAGAAGGACCAGCCCATCATGTGCACACTTAACAAAAATTATCTAGTAGATTCGTTTCACCATGTGTCTCTGTTTTCATTTATAATTTAGGAGTAATTTGAAAAGTTAATTAAAAATTAACTTTTAATTTTTGATTCATTTTGAATTATATTACTTTTCATATTTTTTACACATAAAAAATATAAAAAAATAATAAAAAACTTAATTTTCAATCAATTTTCTAATTCACTCCTTAATTAATATTTGTTGTTTTCTATTGGTGAGTGACATAATCGAGTGGTGTGTAAGGGCAGTCAATAATTTTCCCTCACTGATCGAGGGAGGGGGTTAATTGCATGATGCATGAGTACGTCGCCACTGGCAGCCAACAGTCACGTTTTATCCATTTGTTCCATTATAAAACAAATCAAGGAAGAAGATTATTATTACTATTATTATTATTTTTATTTATAGAAAACAGAAAAAGAAGAACAAATATATATATATATATATATATTCAGAGATGGTTCTAGAGCCTGTGTTTCATTGTTCTCTCTGCTTTTGTTTCGGCTGGGCCTCTTTACCTGCATTTAAAATTTTTGAGAGTCTACTCTACAAGTCGGATATTCACGACGAAGAAGCCTCTCTATGTGTTCGTGTTGTTGAAAGCTGATTTTGAATTCCTTTGGTTTAACGTTTACATTAATGATTTTTGTTTTCGTTTATCTCTCTCTCTCTCTCTCTCTCTCTCTATATATATATATATATATAATGGTTTTAGGATGTGGTTCTTCAAGATAGGTATTTAATTTTCACATTTTATAAATAAAAAAAAAAAATTGGAAATAGATCATAAATGCCTTTTTGGTAGCCTTCATTCTCAATATCCTCTGCAATAATGACACAAAGGTACGATGTGTAGGACTTAACTGAAATTTGTGTGTGTGTATGTACAGGAGGTGAAGTTAATTTTTAAGATTTGTGATACAATAATAATTTCGAGATGGCGCTTTTGGATCTCTTCATTGCCTCATCAATTCCTGTCCTAAAAGTGCTGTTGGTGACTGCAATTGGGTCAATTCTTGCATTAGATCATATCAACATTTTAGGGGAGTACACGAGGAAGCATATGAATAATGTAAGTGATTATTTTTTGAATTTTTAGTGTTTGTCTTATTCGTTCGGTTTCAAATGATTTCTTTGGTGCTTTATATCACTTGTTATGTATGTCCCTACAAGGACCAACAATTTTGCATTGTGGAGCATCATTCATTGGTTGAAACTTTAACGTGTTTGGTTGGAGGATTTGAGGAGGGATTTAGAAAGGGAAAGGGAAAAGTTAGGTAAAATGTGAATAAAATGTACCTACATTTCACTTAGTTTCACACACCTTTTCCCTTTCCCTTTCCAAATCCCTTCCCAAATCCCCAACCAAACACAGCATAAAGAAAGGCTTTTTCACTCAGATCCTGAATTGTCATACTCTAAAACATGTATTTCCGTTCTGTTTGACTAAGTTTTTTTTTAAGTCTCATTGATGTTTTGCTTTTATTTTTGTTGAGCAATTAAAAATCCAAGATGAGAGCATTTTCCTGATGAACCATCGGCGCAAAAAAAAAAGAAAAAGAAAAAAAAGAAATGTTATCTCCCTTGGGTTCATGCATCTTCGTGTGGATATGTGTATATGTCAATGTTCAGCGACAAAGGTTATCCGACACCATCACACACATACAAGCTCAATTGAACTGTGTACCAATTATTTTTTTTCAGATTTTTTGGATGTTATGATATATTCTCATTAACAAGATTCCCCGAGCACACATATGGGCTTGGCGACAAAACATTTGTCACAGATAAAACCTTAACTAATCACCATTGATTTCTTAGATATTGTCCTGATCCAACTAATGAGTTGCTGGGAAGCCTGGATATTTATTTTTGTAAATGCCATGAAGGATAATAGGCTCCCACCCAAATTTCATCTATCCATTGGCTTTAAAAGCTTTAGCAGCATCCATAGTTTAGCTCTGTGATGGATATGATTTCCTTCCTGTGACTTCTAATTAAGTTCTCATAGTTGTATATGGAAAAGTTGGTCAAATTCTACAAACTCGGGGACTTTGGTTCACTGGATCTTGTATTATTTTATTTGCTTTGTGCAGTTGGTTGCAAAGGGAGAGGAATTTGTCTATGAATAACTTTTGGGTTCTAATTATTGTTCTTGGTAGAGTTCATGAGGATCATGGTTATCAGAATCCCGATCCAGATCTTACGATCTTATGATCTTACGATCTATTTGAGTGCAATCGATCCGGATCGTGTAAAAAACTCCTTATAGGTAGGATCTTTCGATCCTGGTAGTGGGATCTTATAGGATCGTGGAATCCCGATCCGAATCCGATCCAATTTACAAGCCTTGTTTTGTATTGTATGACATTTTGTTGTAAATTTTATATTTGTTGTCTAAATATCAATTTATGTTGTCAAAATAAATAATAAAAATTAAGTAGTATTGAATCAAATAGACTAAGAAAAACAAATTAGGAAACAAACATTCAAATATTACGGTAATTTAAGAAAATTAAATAGTCGAAAAAACAAACTTAACTTTAGCGGAGTCTAAGAAGGGTAAGATGATTGTAACTTTATCTCAATTTCTGGAGAAATTATTTTTGTGACTCGAATCCGCTCCACCAGAGATGCTAACGACAAACCTTATCATTCAACTAAGCTACTTTTTTGAGTTCTTAATCTATTTTCATATCCAGTTTTGTTAAATATTTTTTCTTCACTTTTTATGTATTATTGTACATTGTAAAGTATTTTGTTATAAAATTCTTCTTCTTTTTTGATAAAATACAAAACTTTTACCATCGAGTTTTCTATTGCATAATATTATATGTACATTTTACATGGAGTATTATATTTTTCACAATCTTCACTTCTTTTTAATAAAATATAGGTTCATTTTGTGTGTACTTTATAAGAAATATTTATTTAAATTAAATTATTATGTAATTTGTCTTTTTCGGTAGGATCTTACGATCCTCGATCCGATTCTACGATCCGATCCTATAAACACCTCCAACGATCCAACGTAGGATCCCGATTTTAACAACCTTGATGAGGATGTGTTTACACTTATGCAAGTCGCATGTCTATGTGTGGTTTTGGATGTTTCCTACCACTCCAAGGCTCAAAACGTCCTAAAGACAAGTGATTTTCTGCTTCTGCCCCTGGACCTATTCCTCCACCTTCTCTTACTTTGTGCCTTTGTAACGAGACATCCTGATGCAAACTGAATTTTAGAAAATAAGTACTTTTATTTTATTATTTTAAAATTAATATTTGACTAGGAATATTTTAAATTGGTATTAGAGCTTGTGGTGGTGCTCGGGAGATTCCCGTGGAGGAGGTAATAGATGATGATTCTAACCTGCTGAGTTTTCATAGTAAAAGACCGAGGAGAGATCATATATCGAAGAATTATCAAGATCACATGAACCAAGTCACTAAAGAAGAAGATACAATTGAGTAGCCATTCACATTAAAAGTTATTCCGGATCCGATTGTGGATTGGAGTAATCCACCAACTTTTGATGAAGAACCATTCATTGATGGAATTAATAATTTGCTTGATCATATTTTGCCCGATGAAATAATGAACCAAAATCATGTAAGTGATCTTGATTAGGTTGCATCCTTATTCATTATTGTTGAAATTGAATGTATAAAGAGAAATAGAGAATTGTATTATTGATGTAATATTGATTGATATTTATTACAATGATTCATGATTCCTATATATAGAAGAGGGTGAGTGTGTAGTAGGTAAGGAGTAGGTGAAGTGGAGGTGGTAGTGGTGTAGTGGGTTAGGGATGGAATTAATAATATGCTTGATCATATTTTGCCCGATGAAATAATGAACCAAAATCATGTAAGTGATCTTGATTAGGTTGCATCCTTATTCATTATGGATATCAAGTATGAGACAAAAGTATGTTTTGATATGGTAAAATATTATTCAGATTATAATACTTGGTTTACATGAGTTCTAGGAGCATTCCAAATTGATTTGCAACATGGAGAATATTTTCAATGATCCGTTTGAAGAGAAATTTATGAAGATTTTATAAATTTGAGTTTGAATTGTTTGGATTTGTGCTTTGATGAAGATGGGTTAAATTTATTGAAGAAAGTTCTTCGTTTAATTTTGAAAGACTCTTCTTTGAACTTCAGATTCGAGAAAATTAATCTCAAATACAAGGTCGCGCGGACAAGTGTAAACTTCTCAAATTACTTCAAGCAATGGAAACTCAAGAACGAGTTTTCTCAAGCGGGGAATAATGATGCAGATTGAATTTTAGAAAATAAGTATTTTTATTTTATTATTTTAAAATTAATATTTGACGAGGAATATTCTAAGTTGGTATCAAAGCTTGTGCTGTTCCTACACCATGCCTAGGACTTGTGATGGTGCTCAGGAGATTCCCGTAGAGGAGGTAATAGATGACGATTCTATCCTGCTGAGTTTCCATAGTGAAAGACCAATTAGAGATCATACATCGAAGAATATCAAGATCACGTGAACTGAGTCACAGAAGAAGAAGATACAATTGAGTGGCTATTCATATTAAAAATTATTCCTGATCTAATTGTGGATTGGAATAATCCCAAAAAAAAAAAAAAGGTTTGAGAATTAATATATTTCAAGTTTTATACTCTTTTGTTCCAACCTTGGATATTCTTTGTGAATCAATCATTCTTGAGCCTTTATTCTTGGTATTTTTTGTGAATCAACGAGTCTAGAGGAATCTTACTTCCGGTATTCTTGTTTGAATCAACGAATTTGAAGATTGTTACTATTTTGCTTTTCGGACTGCATCACATCCTCTGTATAAGTACTGTTGTTCTAAGGACTTGATTCTTCGATGAATACTAACTGGAGTGTTTCATGCTGGTAACAGATTGTATTTTTTGTATTCAATCCGGCACTTGTTGGCAGCAACTTGGCCAAAACAATAACATACGAAAGCTTGATTAAGTTGTGAGTTATTCTCTATTTCTTTTTTATTTTTGTTGTTGTTTTTAACCATTACGTCAATTGTAATTGAAACTGAAAGTTTGTCTATCCTGTGTTGGGTTGGATGTTTTTCATTTCAATAGTGTGGAGTAACTTCAGTTGATTGTATAGGTGGTTCATGCCTCTCAATATCCTGATCACATTTATAATTGGTTCAGCCCTTGGGTGGGGTGTTATCCAAATCACAAGAGCTCCTCCACATCCACGGGGACTTGTTCTAGGGTGTTGTGCTGCAGGTAAATATATTAGCAAATCAATACAGTTAGTACATTTATACATGCAACATATGGTGCTCATAGTTTAGCATAATCTAGAAATCATGAACTTTCAGTTGCTTGAGCCTGTTATCTTATTCTTCTCTATTCCTGCAAAGGCATTCATAAAATCCTTTTGGGTTAATTACATTTTGCCCCCTGTGGTATCACGCGTTTTCACATTACCTCTTTGACGTTGATAAATGTACTCATAAACTAACCCCTTGTGGTTTTGACTGAAGTGCAAAAGTGACAAGACATGACGGAATTATTGAAAAGACTAGAATACCCTTATTTTTTTCTTCAATGTTCTTATGAATACCATTTTATTTCCATTTTTCTTCTCTCTCTATGAACTCTCTCTCTATATATGCGTATATATATATATATATATTATGAAGCTCAAAACAAAAATCTACCTCTTTTTCATTGCACATGGGGATCTTAACAAGAACCATGGGGAAGAATCCCCCATTGCCGGACTCGAGATCCAGTGGGTCTCCTTTGGGAACAGGTTTAATCTTCTTTAATTGGATCCACAAACAACCCAAACAAAGCACTAAACTGTCCAAGCTTTGAACAAGGAAGAGCAATATACATATACTGGTAAGGAACTAAAGAGGTGGAGCTAGGTACTCGACCCAAATCAAAACCCAATTCGAATACAACGAATCAAACAAACCCTTAACGTTTAATTGGTTAGCCAACGCATACAGGTACTGAAATTGAAAATTTGGGGAACCAAAATGCCAACCCTTGAAATACACAATAATCTTAGCCCTGTTTGGCATTCTTGTTGCGGGCTTTGTCTCAGTCCGTAGTGTCGGCAAAATGGAGGAGGAAATTGTTGTTGTCGTCGTCGTCGTCGGGGGATTGGAGCTCGACCATGGACCAATTGTTGGGATTATCCATCTTCACCACCACTGGTGTACCTCTGTGGGTCTCTTTCGACCACCAGTCGAACGATGGTGCCATTTTTAAAGTTTGATCTCAAAAACCCACTTCACAGAATCGGGGGAAAAAAAACTCTTTGGAAGCTTAAATTGATTCAATGTCGAAGACCCAGAAGTGGAAAATCTATTTTGATCCCATTTTCAAATAATGGATAGAGAAACTGGGAAAAAAACAGTGAAGAGGATTGGAGTTGAAAAGACAAAAGAGGGAAAATTGTTTATGAAGAAGTGAGAAAGACAGAAGTAACCAGAGTGAGCTCTCTCTCTCTCTCTCTCTCTCTCGCCAGGCAATTCAATGCATTCCTCTTCATATCACTAATAATTTTTCCTACTATTCAGAGCAAATGCTCTGTTTCCATATGTATGTCTATGTGTGTGTATATATATTTAGTATATAGTGTGTTAATGTAAAATGTAAATTGTAAAATGTAAACTACTCACTCCACCTACCACCTCCACTACCACTCACTCCACCTACCACCTCCACTACCACCTACACCTGCTACCATCTTCTCCTCTGTATATATAGGAATTGTAATATACAGATACATCAATCAATACAACATTCATCAATCAATATATACACAATTTATTTTCTCTCTCTCTATCAATTTATCTTACATGGTATCAGAGCCAGGTTAAGAACCTAATCATTCTGCTTCACCGGCGGGCGGCAGTCTCGCCTTGGCCGCCCGCCGGACCTCTACACATACCTTGACTCCGCTGCCAGTAAACCCAATTCAACATTCACCTTCAAGATCAGAGCATCACCACCATCATCCATCTTGGTCACCTCCACCAACACACATGGGCTAAGACCAAGGCCTCTCTCTCTATCTTTTCTGCAGAAAGGGCCGAACCGTCGTCATCTCTCTCAACGGTGATCATCGGGGCAATGATCGGACTTCTGATCATCCACAAGTCCACCACCGAGTCACCCGAGTCATCATCATCTCTCTTCAACAACAACGCCGTCGAATCAATCAGAGCCATCTATTCCGTTGGTACAGGTGTTCCGTTTTTTCGGAATGAAACTCGTCACCATGATCTACCGGCCCCGATCAGAACCAAAAGCCATAGACTGATCTTGGAGATCACATTCTCCACCCTGATCACAACAGCAGAGACCCCACACATGCAAACCCATCTATCTCTCTCTCTCGGCTTAGGGAGAGAAAGGTGAGAGAAAGGGGGAAGAGAGACCCAACACACACCCAGATACATGCATACACACATACACGGGTTATCTTTTTTTTTTCCCAACACACACCCAGATACATGCATACACACATACACGGGTTATCTTTTTTTTTTCCCAACACACACCCAGATACATGCATACACACATACACGGGTTATCTTTTTTTTTTCCCAACACACACCCAGATACATGCATACACACATACACGAGTTATCTTTTTTTTTCCCAACACACACCCAGATACATGCATACACGGGTTATCTTTTTTTTTTCTCTCTCTCTCTCTCTCCTTTTAATATCTGAAGAAGAACCATTAGATTAGGCCCTGCTCCACCAAAATCTTCACGCTGTTGATTGCCAGTCCCTCTGCTCCTCCTGTAAACACGTGACGTGCGAAACATGTCGGTCTGGCCAAAGAATGCCTTGAACATCTCATCAGGATCAAAATCATCACATGGGACTTGACCCTCTTCTCTCTCTTTTGCTTTCTTTTCATTAGTTTATACATTTTGCTTCTTTTTTCAATTAGTGGTAGGACCCGTCCCAACCACACACACTCCATTTTTTTTTGAACATCACCTTTTTTTTTTTTTTTTTTTTTATTTTTTCTTTTCCATTTCAATTAAAAAAAAAAAAAAAAAAAAAAAAAAAAAAAAGTGGCAATTAGTGGTTGTTAGGGTTGGATTTGAGTTTGGTGATTGATTGTTAATCTTTGTGATGATGTTTATTTCTTTCCCATTATGGGTTGTATGTACTAATTAGTGGTTGCTAGGCTTAGGCTTAGACTTGGTGATTGATTGTTAGGTTTGGTGATTATTGACTTTCTAACTATTGTTGATTAGTAATCTATTTAATCTAATATTTTTTATATTTATAATTTTTTTTATCGATTAAAAAAAAAAAAAAAAAACGTACCTCTAATTTGTAATGACTTTAGTTTGAACTTTGAAGGATGAACTTAGATTAATTGGATTAGACCTTTATTTGTAGGTCTATTAATAACTGCTGGCTGCGAATATATTATCAAGGCCCATAGAGCCAAAGAATCAATTTGATGGGTTTATGTCATAATCCATTAGAGCAAGGTTTTTTATCCATGTTCAGAATCCACCCCCGCCATTAGATCCATGTTTCCCAGTAAGAAATGTTCTTTTTCAAATTATAATTGCTGGACAACAATAATAACAGAAAGTTCTAATTTTGAAACTGTAAAGACAGTTTTAATGATGTGGTAAGAGAGAAGGAAAAAAAAAAACATAGGTACATACATCGCATCGCATGTGGGCCCCACCCTTTGCCACATCATTAGAGCTCTCTTTAGAGTTCTAAAATTAGAGCTCTCAATCTTTATTATGCTGGACAATGCTTGGGCCCAATTTCCATGATGTGGAATTGGTTTTGGGTAGAGTGTTACAGAATATCTCTCGCAACAGAGTGTTACAGACTCTCTCTCTCAGCACAACGAAGAGTTTTTCAGAAGATTTCGCAGGTTTTTTGCCTCTGCCTCGGCCTCAGGCTCCGTCTTGGTTAAATAGCCGAGGCAGCCACGCGCATCGCGCGCCTCTTGACGCCAGACAAACGGGCACGCCAGCCAAGGCACTCACGTGCCTCGCCATCATATCTGGCACGCCTTTTGATGCATCGGGCACGCCTTTTGATGGCACGCCTTTTGACAGATTGGGCACACCTTTTGAGGGCACGACTTTTGAGGGCTCGATATCTACATCCATGTATATCTTTTGGGCAGCCTATATACACACTCATACAGTGTCTTCTACACCGGTCAGCTTTATCAATCCCTTTGTTTCAACCTCAAATAGGTTTCTATCTTCACACCTATTTGAGTTTGAGGGGGGGGTTATACACAGTATCATGTATAAGTCGCTCATGGCGCACTCCCTAAAGTCGCCCCCTTGGTGCACCACCACAACCTCTGCTACAACGGTCCGACATGACCCCATAAACTGTCTGTTACAACGGTCCGACACGACCATACAGTGTCTCCTATCCCATTTTTAATTGTCAGCCTATTTTTCTGTTTTGTTACTCTCTCCAAACTCAAGTTGGCTAGTATCTATCCTCCTTGAGTTTGAGGGGGGCTGTTAATGTAAAATGTAAATTGTAAAATGTAAACTACTCACTCCACCTACCACCTCCACTACCACCTACACCTACTACCATCTTCTCCTCTATATATATAGGAATTGTAATATACAGATACATCAATCAATACAACATTCATCAATCAATATATACACAATTTATTTTCTCTCTCTTTATCAATTTATCTTACAATTAGTTTACAAAGTTTAAATTATGGACTATATAGACTAAATAAACAACTCCAATCCACCAAAACAAAATCCCGGATTGGAAGATCAAAACAAAACCCAGAACTTGAAGATCAAAACAAAACCCAGATTATGAAAAGGGCAAATTGGTCACTCAAAACTCTAAATTTGGTGTCAAAATCCTTAATTTCAGTACAGACACGCTTCTTTGGCACGTCTGCCCCACTTACTGTTAAGTCTACCAGATTCCGTCACTTTTGCACTTCAGTCAAAACCACAGGGGGTTTATGAGTACATTTATCAGTCAGGGAGGTAATGTGAAAATGCGTGAAACCACAGGGGGGTAAAATGTAATTATCCCAATCCTTTTTTAATACACTGAAGGATCTAAATGTTAAATAAGCGCAGTTTGTACACCACACTGCTTGTGTGCATGGTCATAGGAGTTGGGTGACTGAATCAAGATGACTTTAAACTTATTGGATTGAACTAGGATTAAAAACTACTTCAAATATTATTATTGGCATGTTGATAAAATTTTCAATTGTAACAAACAAAAGCAATTTGGCCCATCAGTGCAGCTGAGGTGTACCCTGCATTCCAAAGTAATTAATTTACCATTTTTAGTTTTGGATGGTGAAGTGAGGAAAATATAAAATTATAATTGACTGCACAGATTTTAGCTATAATTAAGACTGGAAGGGCTATAATATTGTCAAGATGTACACTGAGGAAAAGCTACCATATTAGTTGACTGCACTAGTCGTTGATGGTGAAGTGCATGAATATTGAACAAATCACCAGCTACCTCATGATGGAAGGTACTTAAATTTATATTAATTACATTGTACAGTCACTAATATAGGATAATCTGACTCACTTTTCTCAGTTGCTTTCAAGCTTAGGATGTGGTCGGCAGTGTAGTTCAGCATCATGTCTCTTACAGTGCTCGTATACTGTTGTGATGTCTACAACTCTTTTGGGTTCATACTGCTCTAACTCATTGTTTTTTGTGCAATATTATTATTGTATAATTAGCTTAATTTAGATCCTCAAGGTTTGTGTCCTGGAACTGACGGTTAAAGAAATTTTTAAAATGAAAATTTAAACTACTTTGAGATGAGTTAAAAATGTAACCTCCCGTGTCATTTGTGAAGAATTTTTAAATATTTTTCTTGGACTTGATTTGAACAGGAAACTTGCTGAACATGCTTCTCATTATCATACCAGCGGCTTGTAAAGAGAAGGGAAGCCCATTTGGAGATCCGGATGCCTGCCATCAATATGGAATGGCATATGCTTCACTTTCAATGGCTGTATGTTTTTTCCTTTAGCCTTTGCACTCAGAAAACTTTCCAATATAAATTTATGGTTTGAAACTTGACACTATATGCGTTTGTTTATATTCTAGATCTAGTGTAAATAAATAGCTTATGTAGGTCCAACAAAAGAGAAAAAAAAAAAAGAGTAAAGAAAAGAAAAGAAAAGAAAAAAGAGAGAAACTTTAGGTAGCTCCAACATGTGAATGAGCTTACGTATTATGTAAAAACATTATATTTAAGCATAGATTGTTTTTCATTTAATGTATATAACTTTGTTGCTTTACATCATAATGGCAAGGGACTTAACAGTGTTTCCATGTCGCTTGTTGTTGTTATTAGGTAGGAGCTATTTATTTATGGTCTTATGTGTATAACATTGTGCGTATATCTTCAAGTAAGAGCTCAAAAGAGGACAAAACAAATGATTCCTTAGAGTCTTTTAGTGAAACCCCAATATCACAACTGCAGAGTTACGAAGAACCATTACTGTCTTCAAAATAATTTGTAGTATCTGACGACCATGCACATCAATTTGCCCTGCCCTGCACCAGATTTGAGGGGAAAGCTCAGGTTGTTTACTGCTTTATGCTTTCATCTTCAGTAAAGATTTGTATATGATTCCTTCAAGATTTTTTATTTGTTAATGAGTTTTATATCACCCTGCAGTCTAGACACAAAAGAGAGGCATGAGAGGAAAACTATCCTTTAATTTTGTATTAGAATTTAAATGCTTTATATTTCTGTTAAATCAATTCAAATTTATTATAATAGATTTGCATATTTATAAAAAAAAATCTGGAGGAAAGGAAAGATACCGCTACTGTTAGATATTTGGTAAGGCGAATAGTTAAAAGCCTAGCCTCCACTTCAGAGTGTTTTGTGTATTGTCTCACATTTATTATTATATTTTTGTGTCTCTAACTTTGAAGTAACCTTTGTATATGCATTTTTTTTTAAGGGTTTTGTTGTTGGGAAAAGGAAATTGGTTTTCCTTTAGAGCTCTGAAACTAGAAGTTGAGTATCATAGTTTTAGAGAGAGGTGTGTAGTATCCAGATGAGAGATGTTGGGTTTCTTAGTTTTGTACTCTCTTTGGGGGTTTAGGTTTGAATACGGGTGAGTTTTCACTTATAAGCTCCACAATGTACTGAATTCTGATTACATGTTCACCCGTGGATATGTGCATGTATCACAATCGGTGCGTGAACCACGTTGAGTTCTTTCTTGTTTTTTATGTTTTGTTCACTCTGTTTATTTTTTAATTTTTTACTGTTAACTGCCCAACTGAGTAGATGTTAAGGGTCCTTTTATAAATTGATGATAAACTCGTAAAGTTTGGAAATATATTCTTACCTCCAGTGATTGGGTTTATTACTTGAGACAAAGGTTCATGTAATTAGGTTACTTTTATGCAGGTGAAGCAGCTTGTGCAAGCTTAAGATTTGACCTTTGGAGTTTTATGACAGGTGCCAACTATAGATAAAGTAAAGCAACAATTTGGGATGCTTTTAAAGAAGGTCAATCTAAAAAGGTTGTTTGCTCCTTCAACTACTGGAGCGGTATAATCCTACTTTTCCTATCATTTTCTGTGTGAACCACTTTCTATGAGTTGGGTCATTGTTTTTTATGGTGTACTTGTGTGCAAGGCCTTCAGTACCAAGGCCAGTATGATCCTATGTTCTTGAACATCAATCCTATCTCGGTAAGATGTGTGAAGCAGTCCGCAAAAAATTGTAAACAAAGTGGTTTTAGGTGTTCAATCAAATTATGGGTTCTTCTTAAAATTTTCTTTCGTATTTCAAAGATTTCTTGGCGGGATCCGCCGCAAGGCAGGTCTTTGCCAATGGCACAAGCACCTACCTTACAGCTTGATGAAAGGAATTCATTTTCTTTGAATTTTGTAAAAGGAATTCATTTAGACCCGGTGATACCTTGTTTAAATTGCTTTCTTTCTCTTTTACAGCTTGTTGGTTTCATAGTTGGACTTGTACCTCAAATCCGGATGTCAATGATTGGTGATAGAGCTCCTCTTCGCGTGATCCAAGACTCTATTTCTTTGCTGGGGTATAAATTCTACCACTAAAGTTCGCTTTTACTATACCTGGATTACGGTTGTCACTCCAGATGATATGACTATACAAATTGTGTATGTAAGTGTGAATAGTACAGTTACAGAATGGAATTTTTTTTTGAATCAAGGAGCTAATCAGCGACTAGAATGGCTTGATTTGGATTTTACATGCACAGTGCACCTACTATTAGATTTTTGGGGACATTCCATGTATAAAAATTTCAAAACTGATTAGTAATTCTATGCAAAGATGACAAGTACTGACGTAATCTACCAGAATCGGGTTGAGAAACGTATTCAATATTTTCTGGTATTACAATGCTCATTATTGTTTCTTGAGATGCAGACAGAATTTTATAGACTTATTCAATATTTTCTGGTACTACAATGCTCATTATTATTTATTGAGATACAGACAGAATTTTATATACTCTTTGTGCCTTTTATTACAATTTCCATCAATGATTTGACAAACTCATATTTGTATCCTTTATGAGCCACATTCATATTATGAAATTCTTTTAGTACGAATTACTACATGTGGAAAACCATTTTCCTTGTGCAAAACGTTCTTAAACTTTTTCACTACGTCTGCAGGGATGGAGCCATCCCTTCTCTAACCTTGATAATGGGAGGGGACCTTCTTAAGGGTAACACATTTTTTAGTTTGGGCTAATTTGGTTTAGGTTGGCGATTCTTTTGCATTAACAAAAAGTACTTGTCCATTGTTCCTTGATTTTTCTCTATCGGGTCTACGAGGATCAGGAGTTCAAAAGTCCATCATTACTGGCATCATTGTTGTTCATTGTTCCTTGATTTTTCTCTATCGGGTCTACGAGGATCAGGAGTTCAAAAGTCCATCATTACTGGCATCATTGTTGTTTGTTACATTGCCCTGCCTCTGATAGGAATCACCATTGTTAAAGGGGCATTATTTTTTTGGTTTAGTGGAGGCAAATCCATTGGATCAATTTATTCTTTTGCTTCAATTTGCACTTCCACCTGCGATGAACATAACCACTTGCAAACACAACTCATACCTTTATTTTTTGTAGATCTATAGAAGTTCAGCTATGCAAACTGACCCATTTTACATTACAACAAATGCAAAAAAAAAAAACACAAACAAAAACACAAGTACACACATCACATTACATGTGGATAGTGTGGTAAGATGCAAGACAGGTGTTGTGGACTTGTAGCCCTCGCTGTTCCTAATGTCAAAATATAGAATGGATGCCTAGCATGCCTCCTTTTTGTTACAGGCCCCAATTTTCTTTTCATAACAAAGGGGCTACAAAAACCACAGAATCAGTTAAAAATTTTATAATGGGTTATAGTTTTAGTAGGTCTGGGCAGTATTACAGGGTCATGGGGGATGATGGTGTACTATTTTTTTTTGGCAGGCACTATAACTCAATTGTTTGGAGCTGGTGAGACTGAATGTTCGGTTATTATGTTGTGGACTTATGCACTGGCTTCAATTGCACTTGCTCTTTGGTCTACCCTCTTCATGTGGTTGGTGGCTCGATTTGGTCAAGGAAATTACCATATATGCCATAATTTAGCCAAGTATTTGCTGTGCTTCAAATTCGCAAGTTTTGCTAGAATTGTGTGTTATCGAATTGATCATGTTAGTGTGTGCTTGTGTCTGCAATTAATATGATGTACCAAAAAAGCAATCAAAATATGCATGGTTGAGTTGAACATAGTCAAGAGCAAACCAAAATGTGATTGAAGTTAAAAATGCATATGGTTGATCAATCAACCTACAACTTTTTTGACATGGAAAAAAAATGCTCCAGAGAAGCAATTAATTTTTAACTACATAACCGTCTGTTAGCTATTTCCTAGAACACAAAAGCAGGATTCCTGTTTCAGGTAAATAATTAGAGATAGGCCTTGTCCAGATCATCAAAGTATGGGTGTTCCATAGCTTTCTTCGCCGAAATTCGCTTTGAGGGTTCATACTGCAGCATCTTCTGCAAAATCCAAAAAAATTGTGGAGTCTAAATTACTCAAAAGGGCAAAAGAAATTGACACATTCATGGCTACATATATATATATATATATACATGGCTAGCAATTGAGTAAATATAAAGAAAAAATATTTATCATATATTGTGTGTCATTTAACCGTAAGGAGAGAAGGTTTTACGACACTACCAAAGGTGTTCATTTATAATAGTATAGATAGATAGATAGATAGATATCAATTATAACTCATAAATGGACAAGAGCGAACTTACTAATAGCAGGTCTTGGCCATCCTCATCCAAATTTGGGACAGCTGATGACAATTTTTGAGGGTTCCATTGTGGGTACTCGTGCCAGTTCATTAGCTTGCTTACTCCCGGCCACACTTGTTCATTTGGAGTGCCCAACAATCTGCATAACAATCCACAACAGAAAATATAATAAGTCATAACAAGATCACCAGCGTAAAAAAAATAAAATAAAATAAAAAAGAATTAAAAGCGAAAAAGGACACACTTGGAAGCAAGTGTAGGGTAATCTATTGAACCTGAAAATGTGTAGCAGCTGCTGCAATTCAGAATCTCCGGGGAAGAGTGCTTGCTTTGTGATTAGTTCAGCTAGAGTTATAATTAAGAGATGGTGAGGGAGAGAGAAATTAACTTTGGTAAAGCTGTAGATGATGTATAATAAAAACAAATACCCAACAAATTTAGAGAATTAATGAAGGGGAAACCGTACCAAATATGCAGCCAACAGACCACATGTCTACGGCTGTCGAGTAATGGGTAGCCCCCAAAAGTACCTCAGGAGCTCTATACCAGAGTGTCAATATCTACAACAACAACAAAATCACACACAACTTCTAAAGCGCCTGCCTGATAAAAAAAAAGCATGCTTCATTCACTCACTATTGTGAAGTATTATTAAGTACAGGTAGGTAGTGGTATACCTCATGAGTATACTTCTTAATAGGTAGAACAAATGCTCGAGCCAATCCAAGGTCTGCTATTTTGAGCATCATTGTCTTTCGGTCCATCAAAAGATTGTGAGGCTTTAGGTCCCTGAGTTCATATAGAATAGAAAGGATTATTAACACGAGAGTGCAACATCTTAATTTTGTCCTACTTGTAATAGAAATTTATGAGAGAGAAAATTACCTGTGCAATACACCATGACCGTGGCAGAAGGCAACACCTTTGCAAAGTTGGTACATCAAGCACTGCATCAAAACAACAACCAAGCAAAACGTTTCTCAAGAACAGAAGAACAAAGGTATGACAAACAGTAGATATTTGTTTTATACTTTTAAACAATTGGATTAGATTGGATTGGATAAGAAATTTTATCATAAATAATTAATATACCTTGACAGTTTTGGTGGGAATGTTCTCTCCAGTTTGACGGAAGGTTCTAATGAATTTCTTCAGATCAGTGTCCATGTACTCAAACACCAAGTAGAGAACTGTCTTTCCTTCTTTATTCTGGCCTTGTTTCACGTCCATCAATCTGTGGATTTAGCCAGGGTTTAGGGGGAAACAAACGAGACGTAAAGATATTAAATGTAGATTAAAAAATCACAAAACAAAACAATTATATGTCAGATGGCAGGCAGGAATTGGGTAACAAGAAGTGGAAGAACTGTGAAAGGAAACCCTAAAATCACAAACCAGGGATTAGTCTAATTAATTCACACACAACACAAAATGGCAATAGATCAAAACCCCCACAAGAAAGGAAGTCGAAACCCTAGGCAGAGAGCATAAGAAAATTGAAGCAGAGCGAGCATATATGCTCTATTTCAAGAAAACAAACACACATGTAAAAAGAAAACAAGCAGATCACAAATCAAGAAGATAGAAATTGGAAGAGAAGAAGTTGCAGATCCATAATAGAAGAGATTGAGAGAGAGAGAGAGAGAGAGAGAGAGAGTAGAAGAGAAGACGAAGACGAAGACGAAGACGAAGACGAAGAATAAAGTGAGTGACCACTGACCTGACGACATGGGGATCCCTAGAAAGCATTCGCAACAAGGAAATCTCACGGAGAGTGGTGGGAGGGACTCCTTCATCGTCCTCATGGAGTCTAGTCTTCTTCAAGGCCACGATCTTACCGGTAGCCCTCTCTCTTGCTCTGTACACCTTCCCATACGTTCCCTCTCCCACTTTCTCTAACTTCTCGAAAGCCTCCATCGCTGATTTCTCCATATTCTCTCTCTCTCTCTCTCTCTCTCACTAACCAGATCTCACAAACACAATGACTATTGCGGATTCCAAATCACTCACGGTGTCCCGTATATAACTGTTGTTGGTTGGCTCTCCACACCGTTGCCCAACGGCAACATTTTTTGAAATTCAAAAGTCGGTCTTCAATCTCTTGATATTCTTCCAAAAATGCCCTTGAAGGTGCGGATCACAAAACCAACCCTGCCAAAGTTAGTCCGATTTCCTAGGGCTGTTTGGTACTCCTAAAAGCAGATGATTGTAACTTATTTTTAAAGAAAAATGTTTGGGAGCACTAAAAAAGATCACTAAAGGAAGCATTAATGATGTGGCAGTGGGCCTCGCCCACTTTCTATGCCTTGTTTTTATTTTTTTATTATTTTTTGTGTCATTTCCAATGTATTAGTGTTATTAGTGATGTATTTTTTAGTGATCTAAATCATTGTTGTACTTTTAAATTGAGAGTCTGTATTACAAATAGTTTAAATAAGTTTTAAAAAATTAATTTTTTGCAAGTTAACAAAATAAATTTGAACTGCATATTAATTTTTCTCAATAAAATTCTATATATGTAATATTACTCTCAAAAAAATATCGACAAATCATCTAAATATATTTTGCAATTATAAACACCATGAAAAGTCTGACTAGCTTTAAAAAAGAAGGAAAATGTTTGGTGGTCACAAATTCTGTGGTTCAAATGGTCCGAAAATACCAAAATGACGTAGTTTTGACATTTTTAGAGTCGTTTTGTATCTAAAACGACGTCGTTTTGGCATTTTTAGACCATTTGAACCACAAAATTTATGACCACCAATCATTGTCCAAAAAAAAAAAAGGAAAAAGAGAAAAATAAAGTTCATTTTCAAAACAATTGACACTACAATTCCTGGATCCTATGACCTCTATTTAATTATAATTTTTTTTTTTTTTTGGGTCAATTAGATGGGTGTTAGGTTCTATGGTTGTTATCAGTGTCTCCATTTGGACCATAAAAAATTATAACGAGTAAATAGGCGAAATTGAGAGTTTAAGAATAAAATAGAATAAATGACAATAGTATAGGAGATAAAATTGAAATTAACGTATGTGTTTATATATATAAATATGGTTAGGCTTGAATTTTTGAGATATAATCAATCCTACTCTTGGACAAGTTTAAATTGGAGGATCCAAGGCTAAGTTGTTCTAATATATATATATATACAACAATGATTTACACCACTAAAAAATACATCACTAATAGCACTAATACATTAGAAATGACAAAAAAAATAATAAAAAAATAAAAACAAGGCATAGAAAGTGGGCGGGGCCCACTGCCACATCATTAGTGCTCCCTTTAGTGATCTCCTTTTAGTGTTCCGAAACATTTTTCATATATATATAGTCGTGCTCATTTTTTCAGCTACTAATATCATCACAAAATGTTGAGACAAAATAAATATTTTGGGTAATTACAAAAAAATAAAAATAAAAATAAAAATTCAATATTTGACTCTTATAACAAAATAAATTTTGAATTGGCATCAGATTCATTTTATATATTTGTGATAACAATTTTTTGATGAGTTTACAAATAAAAATTGAATATCAATGCATTAAATGAAAGTATGTAAAACAAAGAGACTCTACACTAGCATTTTTGTCATAAAAAAATGTATATCAATGCATTAAAGGTTGTACTCAATAAAATTGCCAGTTCAGTAATCAATAATCAAACTATAAGTTCTATCGACCATTAGAAAGAAAATTTTATTAGGAAAAAGTGAATGAATCACGAATGAAAATCATATAAGAAACTAAGTTTAGGACTTGATAATTCTACGGTATTAAGAAAGTTGAGAAATACTTAAAAATAAGGATCCTAGTGTCATAGAGAATATAACGGTGCTCCTGTAAAAGTTACAAAGTTGGTATATAAAAAATAATAATAATAATAATAATTAAAGTGCGGGCGGTTTTTGCGGGTTGCGGGTTTAAACCGCGACCCGCCCGCAACCCGCAAATTTGTCATATTTCAAACCGCATCCGCCCGCATTATGTTTGCGAAACCGCCCATTTATATGCGGGTTGGACGGATTGGGTGGTTTGAGTAGTTCGGATAAACCGTTGCCTACCCCTAGTTCAAATGGCCCGAAAATGTCAAAACGACGTCGTTTTGACATTTTTAGAGTTGTTTTGTATCTAAAACGACGTCGTTTTGGCATTTTTAGGCCATTTGAGCCACAAAATTTGTGACCACCAATCATTGCCCTTTAAAGTATGATAGTGTGAGATATATTAGATTTGTTTAGATAGATTTTAAAAATATTTAAAATTTAAAATTTGAAATTGAGAGGCAAAAGAAATATTTTAACTAAATAAATAAAAATCACATTTATTAATTTTATTTGTTTGTATATCTGATTTTTAAAATTTTTTTTGTTATGTTATAATATAATATATAAGATATAGATAGATACCTATAATTCTCATAAAAAATATTATTTGACATTATATATATATATACATACATATTACATTACTATATATATATACATACATATTATATTACTTTTTGATTGTTTGATTACTTTAGACCATATTAGTTGGCCCTCCATGCGCTTTGCGCTTGAGGTCCATTGTAGTTTGGATTTAAATATTTTTAAAATTATTGGTTAATAGTAGTTATGTTTTATACGTATTTTGTTTTTTTTTTCTTCTTATTTTTTTTTTCTTTCTTTCTTTACAAATCTCTTTTCAAGTTCGTAATGTAGTTATGATGCTTGCATTTTTTTGTTTGCAGATAATATGGGTGAATATAATATTTGTGGAAATAATTTACAAGATATGATTTATCTAGACTTAAATGATTAGTTCTAACAAATATTGGATTTATAATAAAAATCTAAATTTATTTATTTCGAAATGTTTTCATATTTTGAAGTCGAAGGTATATTTTGTAAAATGAGTGAAATTGTTTGAAGAGAAATTTACTCAATTTGATCGAGTCATCTTTGTATGGTATCATATAAGTTGTATAAAATCTTTATATTGAAATTCATAGTAATCAAATTTTTTTAGCAATTGAAAAGAATTGAATTCATACCTTATAGTGGATATGTATAGTGGGGATTTGTTTACAAAAGGTAAGAAGAAGAAGATGTGCTCTATGTTAGAGTGATTATGTACAGTGTGTATAGATATATCATTGTCTTTCTTGCTATACAACATTTTAAATTTTGCATGGTAAAGTTTTGTCATCGTATTTGAAGTTGCCATATTTTCCTTTGATGTGGTAGCACAATGTGTCTGCTGCAGAGTTGCCTTCTCTTCGAATGAAGCTGATTTTGCAATCTTCGAAATTTTGTCTTCTCCTTTGGATGTTGGCTATGAGTTTCCATATGGTGCTGCAATAATCTTTTTGTGTATTGTGAAGAATTGTTTCGATTAAAAATTTTGCATCACCTTTTGCCTATATCTTTGGCCATTAATTTTCTGCTGCAATTTGTAATTCGCGACATAAAGCTGATGCTTCAGCGTAATCTGTAGATTTCATTGGTATTGTGTCCGCGAAAGCATAAATGCAAATTCCTTCGTGGTTTCGAAATATTCCTGCGCGAATAACATCTATTTCTTGTGGAACTTCTTTGTTAGGGTAAGTTCCACCGTCAAAATTTAATTTGAGCCATCCTTCTTTGTTAGGGTAAACATAAAATTTAAATTTTATGGACCCAAGAAAATATGGGTACCAATAGAAAAATCAAATTTTTGTAGGTATGTTTCAAGACAAAATCCAGTAACGATAGATGGTATCTCGACAGTGCATGTTCGAGGCACATGACTGGAAATAAAGTTATGTTCACCACACTCCAACCAAAGGATGGCGGATATGTGACTTTCGGCGACAATAGTAAGGGTAAAATCATTGGTGTAGGAAGTATTGGTAAAAATCATTTTCCTATTATTGAAAATGTTTTACTTGTTGAAGGTTTAAAACATAACTTGCTTAGCATTAGTCAATAATGTGATAAAGGGTATAGAGTTATTTTTGAGAAAACTCATTGCACTATTGAGAACACCCTAGAAAACAAAACTTTATTTGTATATGTGCTTGATTTGCATAATTTGTCTTCTCATTTTAATATTAAATGCTTATCTGCTATAAATGATAATGGTTGGTTTTGGCATAGAAGATTAAGATATGCTCATTTTTATTTAACTTCCAAGTTTTCAAAAAATGAGTTAGTCATTGGTTTACCAAAAATTATTCTTGAAAAAGACAAATTTTGCGATGCATGTCAATTTGGAAAACAAACTAGAATTTCTTTTAAATCCAAAAATATCATTTCAACTACTAAACTGCTTCAACTCTTACATATTGATTTATTCGAACCATCTATAACATTAAATTTAGGAGGAAAATCATATGTTCTTGTTTGTGTCGATGATCATACTAGAATACATGGGTATTATTTTTAGCACAAAAAAATGAAGTTTTTTTATAATTTCTCAAGACTTTGTAAAAGAATTCAAAATGAAAAAAATCTTAATATTTGTAGTATTAGAAGTGATCATGGTAGAGAATTTGAAAATGATGATTTTATTATGTTTTGTGATGAGTTTAGAATTAATCATAATTTTTCTACCCCTAGAACTCCTCAACAAAATTGTATAGTTGAAAGGAAAAATAGAACTTTTGAAGAAATGGCTCGTACTATGCTTTGTGAAAATAATTTGCCTAAATTTTTTTGGACTGAAGCTGTTAACACTCATGCTATGTTGTAAACCGAGCTATGATTAGACCTATTCTTAAAAAAACACCTTATGAAATTTGGAAAGGAAGAAAATCTAATATTAGTCACTTGCGTGCATTTGGTTGTAAATGTTTTGTATTGAATAACAATAAAGATAACTTAGGAAAATTTGATGTTAAATCGGATGAAGCTATATTTCTTGGTTATTCAATTTCTAGTAAAACTTATAGAGTATTCAATAAAAGAACTCTACTTGTTAAAAAATCTGTGCATTTTGTTTTTGATGAATCTAACAACATTATTTTCAAGAATCTTGTA